TTTTTTTTTTCCAAAGCTCCCCCTTTTTTTTGGCCCCCCCCCCCCCCAATCCAACATTCAAACGTCACTTCCTGTAATGGTCACATGATGTATTTTCGTTAAAGCCATACACGCACCAATACGCGGTTTCACACGTCCACACTCGGTCGGCACAGTGCTGACACATCGGTGTTGTTCGTCCCCTCACGAGCTCATCTGTTGTTGATGTTCTGTTTTGACCAGGTACGCCGTCCCGCCGGAACACGGGAGGAGATTGGAGCGTCTTGCCAAGGGTATGTACTGCCCTTCATTTTGATAAAGAGGAAGGTGTTCCTCTGATGTGTTTTTTGCGCCCTAGGTTTCTTTCCTGGCAACGCCCAAAGCTGCGAGGCCTTCTTGCGCCACAAGATGACCTTGATCTCGCCGTCCATCCTCAAGAAGTACGGAATCCCCTTTGAAAAGGTGACGCTCGCTTCTGCTTTTCAGCCGACACGCGACATGAATCCTAAACAGCGGGATCGCCTCCAGTATGTTCCCTTATTCAGCTTGTGTTTTTGGTCCCGCTCGGGCGTGAATGGCGCAGGTGACACAGGAAGCGGGCCAGTTTATCGTCACCTTCCCGTTCAGCTACCACGCCGGATTCAACCACGGCTTCAACTGCGCCGAGTCCACCAACTTTGCCATGCAGCGCTGGATCGACTACGGCAAACACGCCACGCTGGTATGCCGCCGACCGTCGTGACGATAAGCGGTTCCGATAACGGACGGATGGATCGGTTAACCGATTAAACAACAACAAAATGTTACTGATTTTGTTTCACTTAAAAAATAAATCAAAACAGTGAATGTGTTTCAAAATGGAATGATTGAACATCATTTAATTAAGTAACTGATTTATTTGCCGCGGCACGGTGGACGATCGGTCAGCACGCAGTCACAGTACAGAGGTGCAGGGTTCGATTCCGGCTCCGGCCTCCCCATATGGAGTTTCCATGTTCTCCCCGTACTGGTGTGGCTTTTCTCCGGGTACTCCGGTTTCCTCCCGCATTCCAAACAATTGTCCCGAGGCGTGATTGTGAGCGCGGATGGTTGTTCGTTTCTGTGTGCCCTGCGATTGGCTGGGCACACAGCCAATCGAAGACTTGACACGCATCATCGCCGCGATTCAAATGTTGCGCTGGTTTTCTCGTCACATTTCTGCCTTCTTGTCCGGCCGCAGTGCTCGTGCCGCCAGGACATGGTGAAGATCTCCATGGACGTGTTTGTGCGCAAGTTCCAGCCGGAGCGCTACAAGCTTTGGAAGGCGGGCAAGGACAACGCTCCCATTGACCATGCCGAGCCCACGCCGGAGGCCGCCATCTTCCGAAAAGAAAGCCCGACTCCCGGCGAAGACGCGGGCGACTGCGACCGCCCGCCCGCTAGGTAAGCTAGTACGTGGACGGGTTGCCGTCCTGCCCTGTCTTGACGGACGTCTCCGCGCCTCAGCCCAAAGGCTCAGACAGCCACGAAGCGACCGCTCGATGCCGCCGAGGACATCAAAGGCGAATTGGCTCAAGAGGAGGCGGAGCCCAAGAAGGCCAAGATGGAGGCTCCCGCCCAAGTCGAGCCAGACACGCACGGTAATGAATCATTTTGGGTTTGACTGTTTAAAACATTGTTTTAACGCCATGGCAAGAAATTGTGAACAAAGACCCTATTTTCTGATACAGATGATGATGGGTCAAATTGTTGAAGCTTAGCGCCAACTACCGCCAACGATGACAGATTTCTTGGCTTCGGTATCGGTGGCTGGGATTGGCAGCCTCCATGAGCACCCGATACGTTCAAATAAGACCAGTATGGGCCGGACATCCATACCTGGTAGTCGCCTATCCCTAATTTGGATTTGTTGAAATTTAGAGAAAAAAAAAATCTAATAACAGTTTAAAAAGGGAATTATATTTGAAAGATTTTTAATGACATATTTTTTAATATGTTCAATTTGACATAAAAAAAAAATTCAACCTAAATTATAAATTAAAAGTTTAGTTTTTCTAATTTAACAAAAAATATTTTCAATTACATTTTTAACACACAAGCACTTAAAGGAAATACGTCGCTCGGAAAAGCCAAAGAAAAGCTTTGTGCCTTGTTGAACGGAGGCCTAATCTTGTTGATTATTTTTCCCAGATCAGACAGTCAAATTGGAGTTCAAGCCTCAGAAGACAGAAGAAATTGAAAAAGAGAACCAAGAAGAAGAAAAGCCTGAGAGACGAGAAAGTTCACCAAGGAAAGAGGACGAGGAGGAGGTTGAGCCTGCCACAAACCATGCGCCCGAGCCCGCACAAAGCCAGGCGGTTCCGCCGAGCTCGGCGGAGGTGGGCGGTGAGGACCGCGGTCCGAGCGGCGGCGGCGGCGTGTCGGCACACAAAGCGTTCCAGAGGACGCTGAGCCCTGCCGATGTCCTGCACGTGCACAGTTACGCCAAAGGAGACTATGCCGAGGAAGAGGCCGCGCCCAAAAACGAAAACGACGACGATGGCGGCAGGGGCCACAAAGACGTCAACAAAGTGAGTCCTGATGATGTGAGCCATCTTTCGGGTTCAATCCGAACCGTGACTTTCCCGGCTTCCCATTTAGTGTCAACGGTTGGAAAAAGCTAATCCCTGTGCATAAATTGCAGCTCGAATGTTTCAATTTTTTTTTCATGAAGTGGGTAGAAAGGGGCGTGGCATCACTGAGATCCACATCGGCGCCGGCGTCAAGTGTGAAGCATAAACTTTTTCCAGGGGATGCGAAAGGCGTGTCAAATAACCATACGGTTTGTGACCAGCAGAGGTCAGAAGAGGCTCGAGGCGCCGCGCGGCAGAATGATCTGGGCCAGCTCCCCGGACACCACCCGCTCATCAAGGACAGCGATGAAGGTGCGCCCGCGGGACCGCAAACGTTTGGTGCATGTGGTCCATTTGTCAGATGTGTCCGTGTGTGTGTGTGTGTGTCAGAAGCTCCAGACGAGGCATCCCCTGTGGCGGAGGGGGGCCTGGAGGGGGAGAGCTGGGCCAAGCCTCTGGCCCACCTGTGGCAGAGTCGACCCCCCAACATGAAGAAGGAGCGCGAGTTCAACAGGAGGGCGGGCTCCAAGCCGCCCTACTGCTCCGTTTGCTCGCTCTTCATCGCCTACCAGCAGGTACGCCGCGACTTCAACCTTGTCCTCATCCTCAGCGTCAACATTCTACCCGTTGATTTTTTTTTTCCCCTCCTCTCTCGCTCTGTTGGACCAATTTCATGTCCTATTTTTTTGTATGTTTTTGTGTGAGAAGAAAGTCAGATCAGAAAGAGTTTTTTTTGGGGGGGGGGGTCCTTCACCCCCCCCCCCCCCAAACCCCCCCCCCCAAAAAAAAAAAAACTTGCGAGAAGCAATGTTGGATTTTTCCAGGACTATAATCGTCTTTCAAACAACTTGTACTTTTCGAGAACAGTAGTTCTGGTGAAAAGTTGTGACGCCGTCCTGTTTCCAGACGGAAGGCGCGAGCGGCACCAATGCGCCCGTCATGGCCGCGAATGGGCACATGCGCACCAAGCCGCTGATCCCGGAGGCGTGCTTCGCCACCACCACCGAGGAAGACTCGGAGTGCGAGGAGCCGCCGGCGACGCCGCGTCTGGAGGAAGACGGGACCAGCCTCCTGGTCAGCTGCTCGCACTGCAGCGTCCGCGTCCACGCCAGTCAGTCAGCGTCACCGCCGCCGCCGCCGTCGCCGCCGTCGTGACCGTCTCGAGGGCGGCAGGGTGACTTCTGGGCATTTTGTCCCCTTCCAGGTTGTTATGGAGTCGATCCTGCCAGTGTCAGCAAGGACTGGAAGTGCGCCCGCTGCAAAGCCAACGCCATGACGGAGGTGAGCGCACCCGCCGCCGTACAAGAGCCTGAACATTTCGCACCACAAAGCAGAAAAAAAAAATGTTTTCGCCATCATAACATTTTGTTAAAGGAAATGTTTTTTTTTTCGAGGAAAAAAAAAAGTGTCCGAGACTGAATTAGTCTCACATTGAATGAAGTGGGGGTTTTTTTAATTCAATGTTTTTTTTTAGATTAAAAATTTGAGTTTTCCACTGACGGATTTTTCTGAAAATATCTTGAAGTTATATTTTTTTTTCAACAGCTACTTGACTCAGGTTGTGTAATTAGAAGATTTGAATTCCTATTATGTAAGAAATTCAACTTTTCAAGGAAAAAAAAAATCAAAATATAATTTTTCCAGATTAACATGTTTCTCAAGATTAAAAATTGGATGATTTCGGGGAAAAAAGATTAAAAAAATATTTATAAATGATTTATATATATATATATATATATATATATACTCTGCAGACCAACGGTTTTGGTGAATTTATACTGTGTTGATATATATATATATATATATATATATATTTTTTTTTTTTTTTGTTGTTTTTTGTCCAGTGACCAGAATTAAGTATTTTTCCAGAAGGAATATGTAGCTTCTTTTTTTTTAAACAAATTTAAACTAGGTTTTCATCAAATCATAATTTTAAAAAGTCAATAGACATCATTTTTTTTTCCGAGAGAAGTGCAGAATGAGAGCACACCTCCGACAAACAAAAAGCCTTCGGATGGGCTTTTTATTTATTGTTATTTATCACCAACATCTAAATAACATGTCCACGTACTGTATATGGAAGCACGCTAGTTTTTTTTTTTTTTTTTTTTTCTGCATTTCAGAACTGCTGCTTGTGCTGTCTGCGGGGGGGCGCGCTGCAGAAGGCCAACAACAACAAGTAGGTTTGTTTTGTGCTTTTGTCTGCCGTTGAAAGGTCAGCGCGTCGCCCCCATGTGGACTAACGGGCGGGCTCGCTGCGGCAGGTGGGTGCACGTCCTGTGCGCGGTGGCCGTGCTGGAGGCTCGCTTCGTCAACGTCACGGAGAGAAGTCCTGTGGACCTGAGCGGCATCCCACTGCAGAGATTTAAACTGGTGAGGATTGGGCGAGGGGGGGCAGTGAATAGAGAATATGCGGTGAACAATGTTTGAGTTGGTCCTCACGACCGAGCGATGTCTTTTCAGAAGTGTTACTACTGCAAAAAGCGTATGAAGAAGGCGTCGGGCTGCTGCGTGCAGTGTTCGCACGGGCGCTGCCCCACCGCCTACCACCCGACGTGCGCGCAGGCCGCCGGCGTGCTCATGCAGCCCGACGACTGGCCCTTCGTCGTGCACGTCACTTGCTGCCGACACAAAGGACCCTCGCACATCCAGGTCAGCGTGCCCGCGTTTTTTAAATTAAAGACTCCTTTTTTTTTTGTATAAAGCTAGTAGTTTTTTTTCAAGATCAAAAAAAGTCATACTACAGCAGTACTGTTTTTTTTTTTTTTTTTTTTTTTTTTTTTTTTTTTTTTAGGGAAAAGTTTAAAATTGATAAGGGGAATAAAAGTTGTTCCCAGAAATTTTGAATAGAGGATATTATTCAAGTTATTTTGAAAATACAGTCATGTTATGTTTTCAAGAATGATGTATTTTTTTCAAGGAAAAGATGTATATTCTTAAGCGTGGGTAAAAAAAAAAAAAAAAGTAGAAACATTTGATAGACTAAAGTCAATTTCTTTTTGAGTCGCGTTTTCTCCAGAAAAATAATTGTAAAGGCTGTTATCGAGAAAAAGATGTATATTCTTGAATTGTCAGACTTTTTCCAGAGAGTCTTACTGAATGAAAACCCATTGTGGTTTTTTTCCGACAATCACTTTCTATTTTGAGGAAAAAAAATTGGACTGCATATTTTGGATAAAAAGCCAGAACAGAAGGAATTTCTGGCAAGTAGTGGCCGTGTGGCTCAACGATTGGCCGTGTTTTGCCTCGCCGCGCGTCAGCGCAACAAGGCGGCCATGCAGGAGCTGACGGTGGGCCAGAAGGTGATCTGCAAGCACAAGAACGGACGCTACTACCAGTGCGACGTGGTGCAGCTCTCCAAGGAAACCTTCTACCAGGTCAACTTTGACGACGGCTCCTTCAGCGACAACCTCTTCCCCGAGGACATCGTGGTGGGTCTTCCTTTTTCCGCACCCGCCCCGCACACACACACACACTTGAGTGCGGGAAAGGCGTCAAAGCGCGCGTGTGCCCTGTGACCCGGCAGAGCCGCGACTGCGCCCAGTTGGGTCCGCCCCCCCAGGGCGAAGCGGTGCAGGTGCGCTGGCCGGACGGCTTGGTCTACGGTGCCAAGTTTGTGGCGTCCCGCGTCGTCCAGATGTACCTGGTAGGAAATTCAACCCAACCGTTCCACCACGGGTGTCAAACCCAAGGCCCGGGGGCCGGATGTGGCCCGCCACATCATTTTAAGTGGCCCGCGAAAGCAAATCAAAGGTGACGACTTCCATGATACTTGCCAAAATGTGTACCAAAACTTCAAATTTTCACATGTAAAAAATCCGTGACATATTGTAAGCATTTTCTTGTTTCCAAATCCCTCATTAGAGTTACTTTAACAACAGTTGGATAAAACGTTATTCTTGACTTCTTTATATAGTTTCAGTCATCACGGCCCTCCAAAGGAAACGGGAATTATAATGTGGCTGGCGACAAAAATGGGTTTGACACCCCCTTGCTCCACCTGTCTCCCCGTATGTTCGAATTATCGATTTATTTATTTATAACCTCTTTTCATGCGAGTGAATCTTTACGTGCTTGACGTAAACGTGTCGAAAATGTGAGTCGTCGTGAGCGGCTGTCACGTGACGGCCGCGTGTGCCCGCAGGTGGAGTTCGAGGATGGCTCTCAGCTGACGGCCAAGCGGGACGACGTCTACTCGCTGGATGAGGAGCTGCCCAAGAGGGTCAAGTCCAGGCTGGTGAGTGGCCGCCCCCGTCGAACAAGATCCCACCACTGTGGTCTACGTACGAAATGACAGCTGATAGTTGATGAGTTGTCGTCGTCGTTCCCGGGAGCGACTCGAATTATGAATCCCAAACACGCGGCAGTTCACCATTTCATCGTATCGTCTGTAACGCCGCCGCCATGTTTGTGCGCAGTCCAAAGCGTCGGACATGCGCTTCGACGGCATCTTCGAGGGGAAGGAGATCATCCGGGAGTCCAAGAGGCAGCGGGTCATCAACTCGCGTTACCGCGGCGACTACATCGAACCGGTCATCTACAGAGCCATTATGGAGTAGCTCACCAGTGAGGTGACCTGCTCCCACCGCCAGGACCACTTGGGACTCCTTTTTTGTAACTTTTTTTTTCAAAAATCAGGACTTTTTTTATTCTTCTAAACAGAGGTAAGGGCAGTATTTTTTTTTTCTCCTTCTCCAAAAGGAGAAAAAGGACGGCAAAGTATTTCATTTCATTGACCTCACATTTGTTTCCGGGAAAGTGTCTTCACGCCGTTCGACGCCTCTGACATCATGCACTTGCGAAAGCCCACACATGGGAACAAATTGTCCACATTACCTGGGCACATAATGCGGATGCGGACTGGCTGTCGACTTCTATGTCTGGTGAAGCAAATGAAGCACACCTTTGCAAGAAACTTTATTGAGAAAAAGGTGCGCTCCATTTGCTGAAATAACAGTGCCGACTTAGACCAGTTCAATTTGGCCGCAAATTAGCATTTTGTGCGCAAGTTTTTTTTTAAATCTTGTCAACATTTTTAATCCAACCCCCCACACCATGTGTGGGGCTCGGTGTTTTTTCACCAGTTCACATGACGGCATGCGCGCTCTGCTAATCCCAAACGCAGGTGTGCGCGGTTGTTTTTTTTTAAACCTGTACAGTACTTGGTGCTTTTCAACGCCTTTTTTTTTTTTTTACACAAAAAAATCCATAAAGCAATCATGACCACGTTAGCTTTGCCGCCCGCCTAGCTTGTCACGGATACATTTTTAAAAACGTGTATATTAGATTAAAATTTAAATATGTATGTGCCATTAAAAAAGGAAAAAAAGCAGCTCCGCTGACAGCAAGGCGATAAACAAGCTTAGCTAAGCTAACGTACCCTAACGTGTCATTGTGCCTGATGGGCGCCCCCCCCTCCCCAATGTGTCACAGATGCTATTTTTTCTACCACAAACAGAAACGTTTTTTAAAAGATTTGACTTTTTTTAATGTCTTCCCTTCCACTTTGTAATTTAAATTGAAAGCGCTTTTAACTTTTAGCAGGGCAGCTTGTGTAGCTTTGGCGAGAGATTATTTTTTTTTTTTTAAAGAAATGTATGTCTTTTGTAAAAGATGTTTGTGTGTAAATGTCAAAATACACTTCCAGATATTCAACGATTTTGTAAAAGTTGTTTCAGTTTAAAAAAATTATATAGAGAGAGATATAGATAGATAGCATTCAGACCACTGTCTTTTTTTCAACATTTTTTTCCAGCTGTCTTTTAGGCTATGTTAACATTGCAGCTCAATTCTAATCTACATTGTTGAACAAGTTGGGATATGTCGTCAATAAGCGTTTTTCATCAGGGGAGGGGAAAGTGAAAAAAACAAAACAAAAAAAACCCCACACAAATAGGTGAATGTCCAGATCCTGAAGAGTATGCAGAGGTCTCCATTGGTTTGAGTACATCAGTCAAAGTAAAACTGAGAAAAAGTGTTATTTCAGAAGTGTGTTCGACACAAAGCAGCCCCCCCGCGTCGTTCACTTGACGTCCAGCTTGACTTTGATGTTCATGGCGGCCAGCTCGGCCACAAAGTAGCGGAAGACGTAGGGCACGGACACCGACTCCACCGAGTCGCTCTTGCCGCAGAGCGTGCAGACGGTGCGGCGGTGGCGCGTGGACGACCACGAGGGCGGCGGCCTCTCCAGCAGCGGCGACAGCAAACTGCCGCAGTCCACGCACACCTGCGCCACCGAGCGGTCGGAGCAGTTGAAGAGGCGGTCGTGCAGCAGGAAGGACGAGCCGTGCGCCAGCAGCGCGTCGCGCTCCATCTCGCCGAAGCGGATGCCGCCTTGGATGTTCCTGCCTCCCACCGGCTGGTTGGTCACCTTGTCGCGTGCCCCCGTCGTACGCACCTGCCAGTAAAACGGTGGTAAGTTTGCGGGAATGAGCTGGCCTTCAAATCTTCACAGGCCCGCCTCGAATGACCTCGCCTCAACAAGAGAAACGGATAAAACGGTCCGAAATCAGTGGAAAAAGGACAACTGACCCATAATAATAATAATAAATAAATAAAATTTAAAACTGTATAGAATTGGAAACTAAGGCTGACAGGCATGTAATCTTTATCCTCTCAGACGAACTAATAATGCGGCTTACTGATGTCTCATGTATGGCGTTTTGTTAGCTTTTGTCAATATATGGTTGGACCATTTTGGTGTTTAAATATACCAAGTTTAATTCTCTTTTGTTTCACAGTAAACTTCAGTTAGGAACGATAAACAGTTTGAAGCGAGCCTGGTTTGCCACTTTGGAGAAGCGTGCGAGTTGTCATTTTCGTTACCTCAAAGTGACACCATTGCCTCCCATTTCTTTACTGCAAGATAGCGAGAACGGGGGCCAAGGAATCATTTTCAAGAATGTCTTTTTCGAAGACACAATGTGCTGAAAGAATGAGTTACGCGATTAAAAAAAAAAAATGTTTGTTTCTATTTCCCCAATCGATAAACGGCAGTCGGAATTGTATCCTGCCAAATAGCCGAATCGGCCTCTGAGAAGGGAAAAAAAAAAAACGTCTCGGTCATGGCCGTGCATTTACCTGGAACTTGTCGGACACCATGTGCCTCAGCCTCTGGTAGTAAACCACACCGATGAAGATGTCGGCCTCCAGCTCGAGGCCGCTGGTGCCGCTGTAGAGGCGCTCGGTTCCGTAATAGTTGTAGCCGGCGGCCCGGAGCGTCTCGCCAAAGTAGTCGAGCGCCGAGTTGTCCTCGGAGAAGACGAAGGGCGTGGCGTCATGGCTCAGCCCGTGCAGGGCGGCCGATTTGCCCGCCATGCTCTCGATCAGCATGCCGATGGTCATGCGCGACGGGAAGCCGTGCGGGTTGAACAGGATGTCGGGGCTGAGGCCGCTCTCGCTGAAGGGCATGTCCTCGGCGGGCCACAGGCGGCTCAGGATGCCCTTCTGGCCGTGACGGCTGGCGAACTTGTCGCCGATGGTGGGGTTGCGAGGCACCCGCATCGTGATGCACACCCGCTTGAAGGAGCCCGTGCCGGTGTCGTTGCCGCAGACCTTGATGTTGTCCACCACGCAGGCTTCGTGGCTCCTGCGGGGAGAGCCGGTTAGCCCCGCTCAAGACAACGCCCGAACCGTCAACGCGATTGCAGGTGAGTCAAGTCGAAAATGAAGCAGTCATGACTCTTTCTCTCGGCACACGAGTGGATATTTAACAAAATGGCGACAATGCAAGAAAGCCCTCATCAAGACCTTGAATTCGAGCTATGACTTGACATCGTTTGGAGCAAAAGGATTTTTTTTGGTGGTTGTTACGGGCTTAAGTTTGGAGATGGTCGAATAAAAAAGGTGTTTGTTTGCTAACGGTTAAAAAAAAAAAAAAAAATTATGTACATATGCTGTGATTATCTGCTGATGCTGAGTTTTCTAAAAAAAAAAAAGCAAAGATTGGTGACGTATCTAAATAACACGCTTCTTTTTGGGACCCTGTAGAGTTGACATTTTGACCTTTCGGAAGAACTTGCGATCCGGTGAGGCTGCGTGCACGGTGAACCAAAATCACTCGTGCTAGAGAGAGAGAGCAGGAGCGAACTCACTTGTAGAAGGTGACGAAGGCCTGGCCGGTGTTCAGGTTGATGTAGCTGTAGAAGGGGTCGCCGTAGCGTAGCATGGCGCCCACCGGGGGGAGCCCGTCGGCGTCCAGTTGCTGGTTAACCTTGGGGTCTCCCGGCTTGGACCCGAACACCACGCCGTCCTGGCCCCGCGCCTGCGTGGCCAGGTCCACCATTTCCGTCTTGTAGATGCAGCCGTGAGCGAAGCCGCGCTCCCATGACGACTTGTTCACGATCTGGCCAGCAGGGGGCGCACAAAAAAAAAAAAAAAACAATGGAAGGTTTTTAGTCGCGGGAATTAGTGAAGGAGTCCATGCTACTGAATCACGATGAACCCGATTTTGATGTCCAGGGAACCATTCACATATTTTCGGCTCCAACTAACAATTACATTAATAATGCCTTAATCTGATTCTTATTTTTTTGGGGGGGGGGCAACACAGCGGACGTGTAGCAAGTCGCAACGTGCCGGGCACTGCTGACCATGGCGTCCTCCATGTCGTAGCCGCTGTAGGAGATGACGGCCACCACGGCGTTGGTGCCGCTGGGGTAGTTGTCCAGCTGGTAACGGTCGTACATGGACGGGCGCACCAGCGGGCTCTGCGGCGTCTGCAGCCGGTACAGCTTGTTGTCCGAACGCTCCCGGAAAGCGTGAAGGGGGAAGCCCATCGTCTGCTTACCTGGAGACGGCGGCGACGGCGGCGCAGTCACACAGTCACAACCGGGAAAAGCTTCGTGCGTGAAGCCCGTCCGATCCCGGCACTCACCCATCTGGCACTGGTACATGTTCCTGGGACTCTGGTTGTGGTCCGAGTAGGGGATGAAACTGGCCACCACGCTGAGCATGCTATGCGGGAAGAGTTCCTGGTGGCTGCTGACGCCCGCCTCCACCTCCGCCTCCGTCACGGCCACGTTGATGTAAAGCTGGCCGAGAAACGGCAACGTATTTAAAAAGAGAAAGAAAAAGGTGCTCTCGCGTGTGCTTGGGCTTTGCTTGCAGCTTACCTGCTCAAATGTTCCGATGAGCTCCTGCTTGCCGAGCGCCAGGTTGCGCACGGGGCGCACCATGCGGCACGGCGTGGTGAACAGGAACAGGCCCGGGTACAAGCTGGCTTTGCCCGTCTTGGGCACCAGAATTATCTCGGTCCAGGGAGGAACCTTCTTCTCTCGCAGAACCTGGAGGAAGAACAGGCTCACTGCGGTTGCAAAGGCGCAGGAAAATTCACAGTCGAAGTTTCCGCAACGTTTCCAGAAGCCAAAGGAGCACGGCGCTCAGGAAGATTGCAAAAAGCCGTGCAATTTGGCGTACCTTGAACCTTCGCAGCGAGTCCACCAAGCCGGGGGCCGCGCGGGCCTCCACCCAGCCCACCACGGCGCCGTCCAGCAGGACCGGGTAGCAGTCGTCGTAAGGGCCGGCGGGGGCGGCGTCGGCGGGGGCCACGCCCAGCGAGCAGAGGAGGGCGGGCAGCCCCACGGTGGGCGCGGACGCCGTCACCACCTGGCAGCTGGCCGTCATGTGGTTCATGAGGCCGCAGGGCTCGCCGTCGGGCGTGTGCACGGGGCACAGGAAGCCCCAGGACTCGGGCAGCAGCTTGCGCACCGACGTGGTGCGCATCTTGGTGAAGGCGGCGCCGCGGTGCACGCAGCGGAAGTGCGACAGGTAGCGGATGAAGTTGAGCTTGTCGGCCACCACGCACAGGCCCGTGTTCTGCAGCATGCCCAGACCTGACACGAGGACAGAGAGGCCCGCTCACAACGGCACACCTCCACTTGACATCGCATAGCCTAGAAAGACGGACTTGGAACTCAAACCCTGTGGCCAAACCCTCATTTAAACCTTAAAAAAATCGTGTCGTAAAACCGACATTTCAAACCCCAGCCATTGCTTGGAATAGGACCAAAACCCTCCTTCAAAGCTTCATTTGAAGCTTCACCTTGCAGTGTTACTTTGAAACCTCCCCCCTGTCTTGAAAGCTTCATTTGAACCCCTTCCCTTCGTTTGAGAGCCTGACCCTGCCTGCCCAAGTCCGCTTTGCAGGCTGCTGCGGAAGCCGGAAGACAGAAGGCGGCGCTGACCCGTCTTGGAGCTGAGGTTGCCGGTGGCCAGCAGGTACTCGAAGGGTTTGGTGACTTCGCTTCCCATGTTGAACATCTTGATGATGTTTTCCGCCGTCCAGCCGCCCTTCAGGCGATTCGATCGCTTGGCCATCGCCGACTTGATTGACAGCAGCCACGCCCACATCTTCTCCTGCCGCACCGCACACGTCAGTCATTTTTACGCCACAACGTTTGGGCTCGAGGGCCACTTCAGTTTTTTTCACCAATGAAATACAATACGATGAATAACAATGAAAAGGCAATTCTTTCACGCGGCTTCTCATTTGGAAGCGCTGGTCACGATTGACGGGGCAAACGGCGCTGACCTTGAGGAACATGAGGTAGAGCTGCCCCGGCGTGAGGACCTC